AAGGGTCGCCCGCTGAAATGCGCGGACCCCCGGCTTCCAAGATGGGGCCAGTAGGGCCGGTCGAGGCCCGCAGCGCGGCCGCCCGCCCCCGTGACCTTGGTGCCCGCCCGCCTCGCGCTCCCGCCCTTTCTACCGCCCGAGGGAAGGGGCCGCCCGGGGTCCCGCGTCCACGCGGCTTGGCGAGAACCGAGGGCCCACGGTGTTCCCCAGGCTCCCGTCGCCTGCCCCTGCCGGGTCGTTAACCGCGTGCAAACTTTATCTCATTTATTTATTTTAATTTGACCAGAGAGGGACAACGTGTGAGAGAGAGGAAAAGAGAAATAAGCTGCCGGTCCTGGACTCCAGGTGCGGTCGGCCCTGTGGGAGTCGTGTCCTTATCCACCACGCCACCTGCCAGCCCTGAAATTTACTTTTAAGGAAAATAAACCACTCCCGGGTTCGGCAGGTGGAGGGGTGAAGGTACTGGACTCCCACACAGCCGACCAGGGTTTGCGTCCCAGACCTGGCCTTGCTTTCTCACTCTCCCTCTCTCTCTCCCCCTCCGGTCTTACTGAAGAAGAAGAAGAAATAATTATTTTTAAAAGTGAATACCTTGTTAAAAACAAAAGAAAAATATTCCACTCTTGTGAAGTTACAAAGGGGGTTTTCGTTTGGCGGGAGGGAGGGAGAGTGGTGGCTAGTTTTCATTTCCTACTACACAAAAATACAACACTTTTTTTAAAAGGCTTTTGTCATAGGGCGCAGGTGGTGGGGAAGAGAAAGTGAAAAATCATCTCCCAGGAGGGTTGGCCAAGCTGCACTCCTTTCTCCATGCCTCTCTTGGGATTTGGGGCACCCACACGCACGCGCCCTGTGTGATTTTCAGGCCTCAGCAGCTGGGACTCAATACTGTGCAGTTGGACATGGGGACTCTAGCACCTTACCCTCTGCAGCACCCACTGGCCCGAAAACATGTTATTTCCTTGACCAGGCTTGCAAACCCTGGGTAATCCAGGATTCCCTTTCATCATGTGGATGGCAGGCCACAAATGGGCCGGGATTACAACCACCCAAGCCTGCAAGTTACCAAACAGTAACAGGACACAGGCAGCTCTCCGCTGGACTCCTGCTTGCAGGCTGGGTGTTCTGTTTTTTTATCTGGTCTGCTAACAACCCTCTGAAAGGTGGCAGCACCACCAATTGTAAATGAGAAGACAGAAGCCCAGAACAGTGGCCCAAGGCTACCCGGCGGGCTCTCTCACCATCCAGTGGAGTGACCCAGAAGATGGAAAATGTGACTATTGACTTCAACCTTTTCTAGAAAAATCTGAAGACTGAGCCAGCAGGTGGCGTGGTGGTTGGGGACGCTGGACTCCCACATGGCAGACCATGGTTCGGGTCCAGATGTGGCGGCTTGCTTTCTCTCTCTCTCTCTCACTCTCTGTCCCTCTCTGGTCAAATTTAAATAAATAAAGTTAAGTAAAGTAATTCTTTTTTTTTTTGGAGAGGTTTTTGCTATAGGGCGCATGCACTCGCCAGACAGAGAAAGACAGACAGTGAGAAATCACCCCCCAGGGGAGATGGCCACGCCGCAATCCCTTCTCCTCCATTCTCCTCTCGGGATCTTGGGCACGCACGCACATGCGCCCGGCGTGAGTTTTAAGCCACCAGGTCCGGGACGTGAACGGTGGTCAACTACGCGGGAGTCCAGCGACATAGCCATTATGCTAACTGCTGGTTCCCTAAAAAAATTTTTTTTAAGTAAAAATATGGGGACCAGCAAGTGGCATGGTGCTTAAGGGCACTGGACTCCCACATGGCCAACTGCAGTTCAAGTACCAGACCTGGTGGCTTCCTTTCTTGCTTTCCTTCTCTCTCTCTCTTATTCTGTCCCTCTCGGATAAAATTAAAAATAATTTAATTTGATTTTATTTAATTTAAAAATAATAATTTGGGGCCGGCAGGTGACATGGTGGCCTGGGGTGCTGGACTCCCACATGGCTGACCACAGTTCGAATCCCAGACTTAGCGGCTTGCTTTCTCACCTTCTCTCTCTCTCTCTCTCTCTCTCTGTCCCTCTCTAGTCAAATTAAAAATAAAATAAAGTTAAAGTAATTCTTTAAAACAAATTTTAAATAATAATTTTTTAAATAAATAAATTATGACCAAAAGCCAGCACTTGCAACTCCACACAGGCCTTTGCCAGGGTTCCTGGCTACAGTAGGACAAGGTTTCTCTAGACTTTGGAGTTCC